GTTAACATTCCTTATATTTGTCAATATCAATCATTCATTCAAAAACTGGCGGTATACATATAGCTTATTTAAGCTGCTGACATTCATGGTAGGATCTTTTATCCGTTTGTTTTGAGCTTCTTCTCAGCATTTGCATGTGCAATGGACTCTCGTTATGCAAAAAAGAAATTTCTTGTTATCATAAAAAATCTTGTTACACCACAACCACATAAAACAATGTGGTACATAGGAACTATAGGAAATATGTGACAACAAAAACAACCTTGTTATAATAGGAGTTTCCTATATAAGTGCTTATCATAACGAGAGTCCACTGTACTTTCAATATAAAGTCCTTCAATCGGTGTTCAGTTCAAATCTTTGTCACATGAATGTAAAAGTACATGCTTTGTCACATACACCAAACGTAAATATAAACAAAATGAAAGAGAATGGTTTCTGCAAAATTATCCCAGGGTAACTGTCTCCACCCCCCCCCCCCCCTCCTTCCATCCTATTATCTTATTATCTTCTAATACACCCAGAACGAGGTATACTGCTGCCAATAAATTTGGAATAATTTGTTTATACTTATGTTGATGTTCATGAAATGATTGTGACAATATAAATATAATATCTTCTCAAAACGTATGTATACAGCTCTATCATGACTCTTTCGATTGAAAATAAGGTTCTGAGAAGGCATAAACTCTTTAAAGAAAAAATAATATTGTCACAATCATTTCATGAAAAGAGCCACAATCGTTTCATGAAAAGTGCCACGAAAAATGTATCACAACTTCATGGGTAATAGTGTAGTTGTCCTGTTTTGGGTATAGGGTTTTTACTTTTTCCAGGGGGGCTACTTGTCTGGGAGTAGATATTGGGCTGATAGTAGCATGATTATTGTCCAGGGGATAGTCCTTCTGGAATCTCTCCTTCTGAAGCCATAACCTCGATCTAATCTTTCTGTACTGATGCCTCAGTTCCTCATCCTTACATTGTTAAATAATCTTCTTTTCAATCCTTCTATTACTGTCCTTTTGCTTCATAACTTTGTTCTCTACTTAAACAAGGATTGTGTTGCCCTTTTGCCACAACTAAAAAACAAAGAAAGGGTTAAAGAAAACAAAGGCCACCTAGACCCAAATTATTTTTTCCCACTGTATAGCTGTATCAGGGGTAATGGTAAGAGGTCTGCAAAATTGAAAATTTGGGGTGACCATACTAAGTATTGGTCTCGAGGACTTACAGTAGTTGATACACTGGGCTGTAAGCAGGGATGCCAGTAAGAATTGATCAGAGGGCCTGAAAATCACCTAGAATGAGCAATTTTGTACACAAACAACCCTAAACTATGGTTTGAAAATAACTCGCCAGGGCCTGAATTCAGGCCATTGCCTGAAAATTGGCATCCCTGTGTAAGTATGTGATATATTTCTTGAAACACCTCTCTTTAACTTGTTCTGGAGAATTGTCTCTTCCAAAGCAGACATAACTTTATCGACCAACATTTAAACATGAGGCTTAGCAGTACTGCACAACAATTTTATGAACATAACGAACGGTATCATTACTATCACTATTGCAGCTCTCTAAAATTCAGGCAGTTCGGTTATAGTACAGAAAATAAAACATGTCACTTAAAAACATAAATGCATATATGAATTTTATGTCTTAAAACCAAAATAGGGGCTTTAGAAAAACGGTAGCAATGTTGATATACGTTTTGAGATATATTCCTTAAATGCGATGTACTTTTTAACATAAACATGTAATAAAATACTGTAATGTACTGTATGTATAATTTGTATACTTCCCCAACACTACCAAAATAAAGACATTTACAATTTCTACAACTTTTCATTGCACTTGAATCTGTATAATAGAATTTGTCATTCAAACATACCATATTCCATGGGGTGTATGACACTACTTCAAGTAACACAATACATATTTGCATAATAAAAAAAACATGAAACAATATCCGACTACCACTGATAAATTCCAAAAGCTGGTACGAGAACATTTTAAGCATTTTCCTACATTCAGAGTTTCTTACCTTTTACACAAGGTGCAAAGCTGCACTCATGTGAAATACACATTGTCTTAAAATCCCCTTACGATCACAAACTGAATTTTGAAGGTAAAAAATTCAAGATAGGATAAATAATTTTGAAAAATGACTGAGGTCCCAAAAAGTCATTTGATCAGAATGAGGCTAATATTCTACCTATTATGCACCGCTGTTTTTTACCTCTCAGATTTCCTGCATCATTTCAACATTAAATTGTGGTTATTTACCCTGAAATTGAGATAAATATTTCTTCAATAAATTACAAAACAATTTCTATATAAATTACTGAAAACAATGACATAATTGAACTTAATACCATGTGACTGACTAAAAACACATACAAAATACTTACAACCATATATATTAAACATTAGAACAGTGGAATTATAGCATTATATTCTTATTATTCCATGAGAATTCTCATAGAATAATCAGTACATATGATTTATTCCTCTTTGATATGGCCACATTTTTTTCTTCAATTTTTTGTTTCTGTATGATTTTTTTCTTCTGTGAAACAGGCATCTTCGTTTTTTCGTACCTTATTTTCCTTCTTCCTTTTTTTCTTTTCTTCTTTTTTTTTGGGGTAGAAATCATATGGCACAGAGACAAGCCATCAAATGTCAGCAACAACCAAAATTGTTTCAAGAATAAATAAAACATAACTATTCAAGAGTATGCCTATACTTTGTGATTTCATATGAACAGAATACATGTACAACCATATGTCATTGAAAGTTTGTGAACTAAAAATTGCCATTAAAATCTTGTAACTTCTCAGATCACAAAGGAGAGATAAAATCAATCAATAAGCATAATCTCTCTCTTATTTGTAAGTGTTTATAACTCAATAGCTCTAAGTCATGTGCAATGGAAAGTCCAGGGAGTGACAAAATATAGTTTCTACCATATAACTCTCTTTAGTATATTTCATTGCCTTGGGGTCTTAGCAGGATGTAACGTCCCCTTGAGCCTATAGAAACAGTGATGCCTCTCATGGCAGTCAATATATCTATACTATCAATTATAGAGATGCAATCAATCGTTAAGGATGATATATGTTCTATAAAGAGTATCACAATGGTGCTTATGTCAAAGAGCTCAGGATAAATATAAAACAGTAAACTCAAACTATTTGTAGAAACTAAAAGATCACCTAAGAAATTCACTACTATCACCTTTAATCTCTAGAGAATACAGTGCACAGTTTAATATCAGGAGTTATCATGCCTACCTGAAATGAATCAAATTTTACTTGTGCAATTTACAATGTCCATATAACTCCTATTGGGACTGATAAATGCAAGTTATTTAGGTACAATTCATGCCAACAAATACGCATCATTATACAGTTTTGATCAACTAATTGATTCATGTACATGTTCGAATTGAAGAATCATTTTTACCGAATGCCATGTGACAATTATTGGCGAAGTCCTAACTTTTTCTCCCATATATTACCAAACACATCTACATGTTTATGAACAGATTTTAGTCAGTCTGATGATGACCGTGTGAAGTTGAACAAAATGGTTTACCTTTCTACACACACAGCCAATGGAAATCAAATGCAGCTCGGTTGATTTTGCTATGCATACAGTTTGTTTTGCATAACATGTACATGTATATGATTGATTTAATTCAGTAAGTCATCATTCATTTGCTATATATCGACTTAATTATGTCACTTCTGATTTTATAACGTTTGATTCGCTGACCTTCAGATATGCAAAATTATCAATAAGTGGGTTTAATAACGTTCACTCCATATTCATACCAGCATGAAAGATAAATACAATCGATATTCCATAAATACACCTGCACATGTTACATGTCTCACCACTGTAACTCATGAAATGGCATTGACTTTTGTAGAACTATTCCCTTCATCATTTCATTTCTATTGCCAACCATCAGTGCTGTGAATATTAAAAGTGACTCGCAAAATTTTAGTGTACATGATTGCTGAAGGCATTATTCTACATTTAAATTCAGTCTAATACTACAAAGATAAATAACATTTACATACCAGTATTCCAAAGAGGTCGGGTGAATACTATCAGAACTTGCTCTATACAGTGGAACCTCGTTATAATGAGGTCCTTGGGAGCATGGCAATTACCTTGTTATATTAGAAATCTTGTTATATCAGGTAAAAAAATAAAGGAATATAAAGAGCTGGGACCAGCAAATTCACCATGTTATAACAGATACATGTACCTTGTTATATTGGAGCTCGTTCTAATGAAGTTCTACTGTACTAAGTTTCATAGAAATAAGAAACAAAAATAGAATGCTAATCCCTTTGTACGATAAGGTCTTTCAAATTCTATTCAATTGCCTATCTGCACACTTTCTGTTAGACATTTTCAGTTTATTCTTTTGGGGGAAATGTTCTGCTGAGATTATGCCTAGCTTTTAAAACAAATCTCTGTTCTAAATGTTTAGAGAGAAGAGCCTGAAAGTAAAAGATGTAAAATCATACAGATTTTTTTCTGTTAGTTTTCCTGTTTGCTTACACCGTATAAATAAGTTTGTTGAGTTGAATAGCATCCTGTCATGATTATGTCAGCTTTCAAACAATTGTTATACAGTCAAATCTACCTATTATGCTATGGTCACATTACCCAAAAGTAGTCTGCTCGGCGGCCGAGCGGCGAGTTTTTAACCAATTCTGCCCGGCGGCTGCCCGGCCACCGAGCGGCGGCCGCCCAGGCACCGCTCGTTTTTAGGGCATCGCTCGGTCGCCGCTGAAGTTTTAGCGCGGAGTTAAAATTTGGGCGGCGCCTGCTCACTTTGCACTCGCCGCCCAAAATACGCTCGGTGCCTGGGCGGTCGCCGCCCGGGCACCGACCTAATCGCTGGGCGATGCCTAATTCCAGCAGCGACCGAGCAGGCTACTGATCGGTCGGTCGCTGCTCTGATTTGTGACCATAGCTTTAATGCCACCAAAGATAAACATAAAAAGTGGCCACTGTAGACAGGTGGCTTTTCTAGACAGGCTCTTTAACACACATTTCTCTCAAGAGGGAGAGACAAAATGCATGGCCGCTATAGACAGGTTGCATTTATAGAGAGGTGGCCACTAAAACAGGTTATGACTGTACTTTGATTTTCTATTCAAATGCTTGAGCCCCTTCATTGCTTCTTTAAAAAAAAACACAAGTCATGTTGTATCATGTTATCTAAATCTTCATGTCCAATTGTCTATGAAAAATGGCAGGAGAAAAAATTGTAGGAAAAGTTTCTTTCATGCAGACTTTCATATATCCAACCCTACAAGGTGGAACTCTATAAATGCAATAATGATGTACAATGATAAAGCAATCTTTGCGAAAGAGGATGCAAAACCTAACGAGCAAGCTGCCAGGGAGAGACTCAGGAAATTAAGCTACACACCAGGGCCCCGTCTTTATACAAAGAACTATGATTGCTCCAAATCAATCGCATGTCCTCAAATCAATCGCAAGTTTGCAGTCTCATGGTAAGTTGCGATTGATATCAACTTTTTGTAAGACAGGGTCCTGACTTCCCTTTCTCTATTAACTATGTGACGTTAGATCCAAAAATGGGATTCAAAAGTTTGACAAGGTGATCTTCCATTGCCATACTCGTAACATTACCATCAAGTACTATCCCAAGCATTTCAGTTGTACCCCCTTCAAATGGATATTGATGAATAACTGTACATGTACAAATAAAAAATGAGGGTAAATTTTACTGTACTAGCCAACCCCTTACCCCCCCCCCCCTACCTCTCTCCTCCAAAATTCATATTCACTAAGCGCCATGAGCACCGAAAGATGGACCTGTGCGCTATACAAGTAGCCACTATTATCATCATTATTATATGGATTATTAATAAGAGCAGTTTGAATGATAAAAAAATTCCCCCAAATAATAAGACAATATCCATAGTTGAAGAGGAATAATAATGAATCATAATAACAAAATCACTCAGCTAATTAAAAATATTCGATCCTAGTGCAAAGATGGAAAGTCGTCATTATCCACCCGATATCAGGTCATACATTTTATTGAACTTATCACACGAGGGCGTCTTCATTTTCTTGCCTGATTCGAACATCTTCCTATCTCCAAAGTATCTGGCTTGCTGTATAACTCTCTCTTCTGTGTAAGGGGAAAAGTGAGAAAACGATGGAAATGTATCAAAGGCATCGTTTAACAATGCTAAATCTGAGATGTACGGCCCTACGTGTTATCAGTGTCTGTGATATGGTGTAATATTGAAGCCCTTAAAAATGATCATGAAGTGCCTCAAAAAAGTAAAAATCTTTGAGTGACCAGTTTTAGCATACTTGTTTTCCCCAATAGACTGTAGTGTTATAAAAACTGTTAGGAAAACAAATTCTGAAATTTCTTATTCCAATCATAGATATCTTGATAATCAGACAGGCGATTGGCTTGTAAAAGCCATATGGAATTCATGTATGACCTAAAGGTTTATAATTATGATTGCAGTATGAGCTAAATCCAGGATTTTTGCTAGAACTAGGCAAAGTTACCCAATCCCTTTAAAACTTCTTGATGTAATTCGGGAGAGTAATTTTGGTATAAGTCAAGGAGTAACGGGACACACATTTCCTTAGTTTTGCCATGTCCAATACAGAAGTGCACTAGCCAAGGCAATCCTCATGAATGAAGAAAAAAATAAATAATAATAACAATATATAATAATAATAATAATAATATAACAGCAACAACAACGATCACAGTATTAGTGGGGTCTGGTATAGCGATCCTGTCTGGCAGACCCGACACTCCTGGTGTAGCAATTTTAAGGCAATACTGAACTGAAGGACTTTCTGCCCTATTGTTGATTGCAGGCCGAGATCCGAACCCTCACCCCTTGGATTGAGACACAAGTGAATGAACCACTATACCATGACACCTCCACATAAGAAAGGCATTTTATGATATGATATTTATTATCAGTACTAACAAAAACTAAATGTCTCAAATTGCGAAGAGAAATTCACCCTCCTTTACCTGTTCTTGTAATCTTCAATTCCATGTTTCTATATGTAGGCTTTTCAAAATGGCATACTTACTCTTATATTTTTCATCATAACAAGTTCTCCTTAGGTTCTGTAGGTATTCGTCATCAACCTGATTCTCCACTAAGTGTATCTTGCCCGAGTAGTCTTTCACAAAATCTTTCTGCAAGGGGAATAAACATACATTAACGTAGTATATTAAACAGGGAATTTTGTATGGGGAGAACTTTTCATTTTTGACTACCCTCTCCGCATTACCGGTAGCTTTTTTTCATAAAATAAGTTTACATTTTTTATCATTCCATTTATTTAATTTATGTATGTATTCAGGTTTGTTCTCACCTGTGAATCCTTCAACTACACTATGCTATGACAACACTTTAGACCTACATCGTTATCAATGACTCAACAGATCTTAGAACTTGTGACTCAAGAAGAAGATGATGTATGTATCTATTGTAAATGTAAATATTTATATACATGTATATATGGTTTATATGATTAGCATTTGTAGAATTAAGTTGAAATTGAAAATTGAGATTGAATAAGGATTCTAGAATGATCCCCAAATCATTATGCAAGCCGGAGGAATACATCATACATGTATACGTTTATCAATTTCAAGCAGGGTTTCTGGGGAAAGATAATAAAATCCATCAGCAAGGCAAAAAAAAAGGTATATATGCAATTAAAACCTGAATTATTCAAAATTCATACACCTTGAAAATGTATAGGATGACCACACATTTTTCTGTTTCCCTTGATAGTGTTCCCGTGAAATATGTACTTCAGGAACCTGAACATCAAGACAACCTGCATGTACCCAAAAGTATAAAGACCTTCCTTTTTTTTCCTTTCCATGACCAGTCTTTATATACAGCTTTAATTTATTAGACATCCATCTTATACAGTCAAACCTGTCTATAGTGACCGCCCAAGGGAAACACAAAAAGTGGTCTTTGTAGACAGGTGGCCTTTGTAGACAGGTTCCTTTAGTACATGTTTCAATGAGAAACCATTTTAAAGAGAAACAACAAATGTGGTCCTTGTAGACAGATGGTCTTTGTAGACAGGTGGTCACTAAAGCAGGTTTGACTGTATATAACTTATTTCAAATACAGCATATCATGATGGGAGGGCAGTAATTGTTGTATTATTTACCTTTACATAATATAAAACATCATTTTGTGTTCTTCTCTCCTCCTTGAAATTTCTGTAAACAGAAAAGAGAAAGTCAAAAAGATTATAATACATCAACTTTTAACCCATTGCCTGCAGGAACTAGATGGCTCCTGCATTTAAGTGTATGGGAATATGATAATTCAGTATTCAATGAGTTCAAAGAATACAAGTGAATAGTCCCAAATTTTAAAAAAAGAGAAATAAATAAATATGCACGTTATATGCAAATCACATAACATACAAATATTATCTGGGTCTAGCCTATTGTTTCATTGTTTTACTTGGACGATGGGCACCAGAAAAAAAAAAATATATGTATTCCAGTGCCTTTGAAAATATCTAAACTGGTAAGAGGGCCCTCATGTTGTGAAATATCATAATTGAAACTTTCCTAAAAGTATGGTGTCAAAATATTCATTATAAGCAAAGACAGTCATTTTTCTTTAAATATTATTCATTTTTAATAATTGATGATTAAATTTCATTATGATATCACTTTCATGTTTCTGTTTCATTCCCTAATTCATCTACTCTGTTCAATGAAATTGAAGTAACTTGTACAGCTTAAAAAGCCCAGTACTTGGCATGTTTAACACATTGCCTACTGGAACATTGTGGTCCCTATGTTAAGCCTATGGGAATGAGAGAATACAGTAGTCAACAGCTTAAAGATGTTTAAGCGTGGTAATATACATGTAGTCGTTCGTCAAGTAGGCAACTTAGCGATCACTACATAACACTGAGCCAATGGGTATTACGCTCGTATGCGTACGTCCTTGTGCTGCCCTCTATATACCCACGCATGAGCAATTTTAAATTACAAGACATTCATGGATACTAGCTAATGGCCTAGATCACAGTTGATGCTTATGCCTCAGTCACACCTTTGCGTATTTGGCTTGCGTATTGCTGCCTATATATGGCAAGCCGTTTTAACATTTATTCCCATTTCTTTATATCAAGTTTTGAATTCTTGATATCAAGAAATCAAATTCTTGATACCAAGAAATAGCATTCCTGTACAACAGAAAATTATTTCTTGATATCAAGAGATAGGAATGTTAAAATGGCTTGCCATAAATATGCAGCAATACGCAAGCCAAATACGCAAAGGTGTGACTGAGGCATTACGATGAGGACTTACCCTTGTCTTGTTAATCTGAAGAGAGGATCACTAACAAACAAACTAGAGAAGATTGACATGAGAACTAAGAGCAAGATTGGCAGCACCTGGACCAAGAATGTGTAGTTAGCCTGTCAAGAAGGATAAGAACAAACAAAACTCATTTTACAGCAGTTCATAATGAATTTCAAAGGTGGTAATTTGCTCTTTCTCCCAAAATGGCACAATCATGAATCCTGCAGTTTTTTGTTTTTGTTTTACGACAGACAGCTTTTATGTCATGTACACTGTAGTTTCTATCTAAAGACTTTAAAAGTTCACCTTGTGAGGGATGTTTATCAAAATAAATGTCGGTCATGTCCCGAACTAACCACTCTCTGGTAGACGACATAGGATGACATGGTAGTGTAAAACTAATAATAAAAATATATATTAATAATATTAATGCGACGACGGGACTCGAACCAGGAACCATGCGATCAACAGTCCTGTGACGTATCCACTAGACCACAACACCTCCATATAAACAAAATTCAGGACATGAAACTTTTCGCGAGTTGATCAGGACGGCCATTTTTATGGCAATAAACTTGATGAATTGAGAAGAGTTAGGGTTGTGTCAATTGTGATTCAACAGTTTTGCAACATGAAACCAGGAGCTGTTCCAGAAGAATGAGTTGGGGAGGGTTGGGGGTTCTTGCATTAATTTTCCTTTAAAGAGAAGCTTCACTTTTGGGGAGAGGTGAAAAATAATTGGTGAGCGTTATCATTGTTATTATGGTATGTAAATGTGGAAGAATAATAATAATAATAATAATGGTGGCTTCTTATATCTTATATCACGTTGTGACGCTCCTGGCGCAGCCCCGAACATCAGATAACAATGTTCCCTGAAAAGCATGGCTTTTCAAATGCCTTGATATTCCAAATGTAACATGTAACAGCATAAAAATCAGGAAAGATTTTTATGCCACATATTTGTGTAGTCCCAAATACATATTTCTGTGTACAGTGCTTGTAACTTTACCAAGACTGGGCCAAAATTCTTATCATGTTGATGATTCCAGAACTTTGCAGTATACACCAATACTTTTAGGCTAGATGATCAACCTTTTCTGCTCGATTCCACAAGGTTTCTTTCACAATGCATTGCATGACCAGAACTTAACTTTATCTTTAAGACCACTCCCCACCCCAAAAATGAATTTCCATGTGGTAATGCATTAATCCCTATTATCAAGTCCCTAGGACAGGACTTAAAGGTACTATGTCCCTTTTGCAGCCAACCTCAAATTCTGTAGAACTTTGCAGGAATTATGAATATGTCATGTATGTCCTATCTGTGAAATTTAAACGTTAGCAGTGTCCTCATATTCAAATTATGCAAGGAAACCTGTTTACTCGCTAGACTTTACTGTCTGACACTATTGAGTGAGTGACTGGTTTTTTTTTCTTCTTTGGTAATAACATACATAACATGAGCTGTAAATGGTACATGAGCATTTGTCTACATCAATAACCCACTTCTTGTGATGGCCAAGATTAAACTGATTGAATCTTTGCGCAGCATAAAACATATGACCATTCGGTACAATTGCCTGAAAATCAAGACTATTACTTTTGGGCTCTATAGCCCTAAAGTCGATTTGACAACTAATAGTTATTATTTTCTCACTTGAAGACATTTTCAAGCCCCACCTTTTTTAGTGAAGTTCTAAATTAGTATTATCTTTCAAATGCAGTTGGAATTTAACTTTTTCATTTTTTTGGCCTGCAAATGGGACATAGTAACTTTAAGGCCTTTCATAGCAGTCAGGTAAAAATAAACCATCAATCATCAACCTCCAATTTTAAGGAGGGGGAGGGGGCGGCCATGATACACGATGCTTACCTCGCCAGCCCTCCGTTCGTGACTGTGACCCCCTTGCCTGTACTGTTGTCTCCTACGGACCTGACTTGATGGGAAACCACCATTGAAAAACATGTTGAAGATATCCTCGGGACTGACTTCATCTGGAGGGGGAAAAAAGAGAAGATTTGGTATGGGTCAAGAATTGCTTACGGATTGCAGATTGAAAAAAGAGCATTTTCTACAATTGCCCTGTTCTTACCCTTTCTACAATTGCCCTATTCTTACCCAACATACAGTGGTAAGCAGTTTTCCTCAGGAACATATCATATAAGGAAAGCTTTATCGCAATACCTGTATGTTGTATTATACGACTTCCCATACATATTCCTCTTCTAACAGGCATCAGTATTAATACAGTACTCATGTATAATAGCATACTTCATAATTGGGTGGTACCCACTCATGTCTGTTGTTATCGATAGCATATACATGTTCGTAAATAAGCAGCAACATTTGGGGCTATCTTACAAAGCGGTGGCAGATTCGAAAACAAATCTCAAATTTCCACCTATTGGCAAGCCACAAGATAAGAAACACTGGCATCTTTCAATCCACATGTGAGGCAAGAGCTTTTAAAGACGCAAAAGAGTGGGCTTTTATGGGGAATTTGACAGGGTTCCGGTGTTTACCCATTAACAGGTGCTGTCAATCACCAGGACTAGCCTTCAGTTTTTCGGACCAACAGGCATTATATAATGCTTTGTATTTTTTAATCCATTCCCACATATGGTAATTCATCATCTTACTTTTTCCCTCACAAAAAGAATCTCTGAAAGAGGGGCTATTTCTTGATAGGCCTAAGGTTTTGTTGTGTGCAGACTTGTACACACATTAACGGTATGTCCACAAAGTCTGGTGTCAGCAAATTATGGCCCTCTCCACATGGAAACCAAAGACCCTCTCCCTTTAATATATATAAAGATATGCTCTGACTACTTTCTCGAGACATAGCAGCAGTACCCTTTGACAGAGCCATCTATACACAGAGTTTGGCCAACCCGGTTCGAGTCGGACACAATATGGCGACTACTGCTTTGTTGGGCAAGCACAAAACAAAAGAATATACGCCATGTTGTGACCCAGTGAAACCAAGTTGGCCAAACTCTGTGTATAGATGGATCTGCCCTTTGAGTAATCAGGGCTCCCTCCCTCTAGTTCATGAAAACAAAATTCCCTAAAGTAAATGTATTTGACACTCACCATCATCGAATCCCCTTGTTTCGTAGTACCAGCCATTGTTGTAGTAATGATGTCTGTGGTTATTACGTTGAACCTGTCGTTCCTGCTGTGACTCATCTCCGTACACGTCGTATTTTTTCCTCTTGTCCGTGTCAGTTAGGACATTGAAGGCTTTACCGATAGCTGAAATAGTGAGGTTTAAATCAAATCATATCAATGCTAGTCACATGTGCTTAGAACTACGGTTAGGAAATTTAAGGCTTTACCGATAGCTGAAATAGTGAGGTTTTAAGCAAATCATATCAATGCTAGTCACATGTGTTCTCTACAAGTGTTGGATGTTTCAAAGAGGATGCACTTCTTGCCTTCAATTTGATTTTAATCACACAAACCAGGTCAAATAAATTTCTAGATCTGATTTTTAGGAGTTTTAGAGGTAATAATACATTATAATTCTCTCTCTCTCTATATCTCTCTCTCTCTCTCTCTCTGTAGATGATCCAAAGAAATATAAATTTATAATTTGCATAGTTACACAAATTTTTCAACTGCTTAATGGTGAATTAATTGATTCTTTATATGGTTTTTGTTCAAAACGATGCTCAAACATACATTTTGTTAAAGAACATTTCTTTCTTGAACGTTCAGACTAGGCGAAACGAGATTCATATCTAGCTATTTGACAAATGCTGGAAGTCTGAATGCAGGCACTATGAACATGACGGACAAAGAAAGAGGACAAAATATACAGTTCCTCATTCTACCCTCAACAATTGCTGTGGTAGACAAAGGAACATCCCTTCACTGTTATTATGTAAAAATGTGTAGAACAGATGAATATGCATGTGACACCAGTTCTACACATTTTTACATAATAGCAGTGAAGGGATGTTCCTTTGTCTACTAAAGCAATTGTTGAGGATAGAATGAGGAACTGTATATTTTGTCCTCTTTCTTTGTCTGTCATGTTCGGGTGAGGGTACATGTACATGTAGGTCTCTCTTGGAAGTCCATATTTGTTTACTATCTTACCTTTGAAGGCTTCTGCCGATCCTGGCGCCTTGTTCTTGTCTGGATGGAACTGTAGGGCTAACTTCCTGTAAGCCTTCTTGATCTCTGATTCCCCTGCATCTTTGGCTACACCAAGGATCTCATAGAAATCCTTACACTTTTTGATTCTGCATTATCAAAAATAAAAACCAACAAAATAAATGAACGGTATGAGGAATGAACTATTGAAAGCAATCAAAAATAAAGTATCACTGGTTTCATGAAAGAACACTGGGTAAGTTCTGCTCAGAAATGTTGTCAAAAATGAGGAAATTGCAGGTTCTAGGACAATTATCTCCTGAATGATCATTCCCTGGAAAACTAGTGCAGAACAACCACCCTCTCCCCCCCCCCCCCATAAAAAATTTATATCTACCACCTACATGTAGGAGATAATGGTTACTCTACCATTAATAGTACCATATCAACATTACTCAATAGCCAAAAACGTCACAAGGTTTCCATGAATGGCACAGGTAACGTCAATGCTAAGTTTTTTGCAGCGATACAATCTTTATAACAACTTCATTTGTAAGAAAGCAGAAAGATATAAAGAACACAAATTTGGCAAAAGTTTGAAATAAATCAGACCCATTTAAAATATGATATAACTAAAGCTACAGTGTATGCAAATGTCCAATTGGCAATTTGGTCAGGGGATTGTGAAATAGTCAAGGACAACTTGCTTGTTTGGCATATACAAAAATATTAATAATTTTCTGTTTTTCTCCTAAGCAACTTCTCTATTCGGGCTCTACTCAAAATATATGTGAGAGCATGTTACTTTACTTTAGGTCCTCTGAAAAGAAGAAAACAAACCTCCAAGAGTAATACATGACATTTTGGTGATTTTCTTTGATGGAACAAATAGGAGAGTTGTCCACGACTGTGGCAATGTACATCTCAGTGACATTGCTGATTCGGCCAGTTTGTAATTTCCTAATGAATGATTAAAATTTTTCAAGAATTCAAGATTTTGTTCAAACTTTCAATCTTATATATTAAGGTTCGCTTTTCCTTTAAGACAATTATCTACATGTATATTCACATGGACATGAATGATTCTTACACAGTTCTTCACTGATCTTGGCAGGCAAAGTGGCAAACCATTACTATTGAGAGAGAAAACAAAATTGACTGCTTACTTTACTACAGCTGCTAATTGATCTGGTGTATAGTCCTTCTGAGCATCACCATTGGACGTTGTATCCGTTGATGATTGTTGTCTTGAGGCTGAGTTTCTTCTCTGTCTGGCCTGGGGTGTGTCTCCTCCTTTGTCATTTTCTGCAGAAGAATTTGCTGACTGTGAGGCCGTGTCGCTGTCGCTTTCGTTGGCATTCTCAAGCTGAATTAGTAGGGCTGCAAAATGGTTATAACAAGAATTACAGAAATAATATTTAACAAGATGAATTCTAAACACTTGTCACATTGGAAAATCAGTCAAATCAGAAGCCTCAATTGTTCATTCAATGTTTCTCTCTTTCTTTACAGGCTTTCGGAATGATTTTTTTTATTTTTAACCTGAATAATAGTGAATTGGACATTTTCTTTTTGAAAAGAGGAACAACTCCACTTGGATTTTGCATATGCAGGGTAGCTGCTAGGGACATCAATGCAAAACTGCAGGGCATGGGAAGCAAACCGTTGTGCATTGGTGCAATTGTTGGTATTTATAGTATTACACAATACATAAATATAGTAAGAAACTGAGAAAGAGATTGTGAAAAAGACTCATACTTAAGACTATAAGGTATATTAAGAGTTAACATGCTTAGTCTACATGTACATGGTTAAGAAGACAGTTTAGTTTAGTGTTAAAATAATTTTTTAATTAGCCACAGCCCACATCGCCCATCAGGAAATTTCTGCTACAGTCCACATAGAACTTTAGCCGACATATATCACATGCGTATTACGTTGATCAGGTCTCGGCCTCATTTTTCTAAATTGGCGCCTACAAGGGCCCTTCTGATTGGCTATTGCTGGCTGCCATTCGCTCAATGTTATAAGATATTTGTGCGAGGAGAAAGCTTACCATTTTCCATTTGATCTGATACCAAAATCATATTTCAGTCAAACCCTCCATTTGTTACAATTTTTTCAGCATCCTTAAGATTAAGTAGATCTAGACTAGTCTAGGTCTAGTTCTAGTTTACTTAAGTTTAAGTCTTAGTCTACATAACTTTATTTTAAGTTTGAAAATTAATTTCGTCATATTTAAGGTACAAACTTGCAAGCTGTAATGAAATGTTTGATGATTTTTCATTGTACCTATGCTGAGCTTTGTGCGTCAGTTATGTGTTAAGTGCGTCACTTGTTTAGAGCATGAGATGTCAGTGTGTTATGTAATATGTATTACGGAATACGGTATTGGAAATGCCACCGACTTAAGTTGCGCTTAAGTTAAGTAGTCTAGGCCCTCTCTCACTTAAATTTAGAGCCGCTCGAGCAGCTCTGCCAATCTCATTGGCTGCATGAGAGAAAGACAGAGCAAGACGTGAGAGGGAGATCGTAAACTAAGTGCACAGTGCTTTAATGCGGAAAGTTCTAACTCTAACTTTCAAAATCCAATCATCATCATGATCATGATGATCCATCCTGACCATTACTCATCTCGTTAGTCATTTGGATTAATTGTTGATGAACACAAACCTCATAAAGGGACACAAACCTCATAAATAGACTCGATTGATTTATAATTGCGATTCAGACAAATAGGGTCTACAAACGAAAGCACAGCTCAGTCTCAGACTCTCATCACAACTCCAAAATCACAAAGTCAAACGCCATTTGCATTGGCATTGCCATTGCATTGATTGTGCATGATTGTGCGCAATAGAAGAGACTTGGTCAATACAATAAATGGTAGAAAATCAAATGAAATGTAATACCTTCGACTTTCTTTGTAGGGAATAATTTCTTGGCTTTCTGGAGGAACTTAAGGGCCTTTTCTCTATCGCCATCTGACACTGCTTTCAGTGCTATTCTGACACATTTTTCACTCTCGTCGCGATTCCCTTCCATCTTTGCCTGCATTTTCACCTTTGACACGAATAATAAATACGTACGTAGATTACGTACTGGTACTTCAACATCTTTTCACCGCAGAGGGAGCTATTAAAAAAAACGGATTTAGCTTCTAGGCAGTATTGGAAAAAGCCAACATGTTTTGTTAAAAACATACAAACAAACAAACAAACAAAACAAAAACAATTTTGTTGGAGTCAACCCAAAACAAAGTGTAAAATAACTGCAGCGAACTTCAGTATATTATACTAAAAGTTTTAAGAAATATAGATTGGCCTAATGTGAAGCATTCATGTTTAAATAATGTACATAATATTCCTTTGTATTATAAAAGTCATATTTCCGCTAAATATACGGATTTGCATTAGAGTTGGCCCACATGTATTTATTTGTAAAAGTAATAACCTACCAAGTGGGAAAAAATAGTGCTTGCATTATGGACTTTCAAATATTCATGATAGCCACAGAATGACAGCTAATGAACATGCATTTTTTCTCATTAAAAAAATCAGATGAAGATCAGTGAAATTCATCATATAGTGCGATTGTCATTGATAATATAGAATATTTATCATCATCATCAGTCATCATCACCATCTTTTTACCCGGACTTTTTATTCATTATTGTCATTATTCTTTTCAATGCTATAAGGCTTTAGGATCACTAAGGTCAAAATGTTAACATTTTAAGAAGTGTACATGCATGCTAAAGTCCTTTTTTTTAACAATATGTAGATGGTCTTCATGATGATCTTGATGTTTAATTCATATCAATTTTGTCTAAAACGCTATTTATTTTTCATCTCATTCTTCCTCTTTTTTTTTTCTTCTTCTCTTTCTAATTCTTCTTCTGTGTTTTCTTCTTTTTCTTCTTTTTCGTCTTCCAGCTGTTTCTTTTTCGAATTCTCCAACTTGTTCTTCTTTTTCCGTTTTTTTTTTTCCATTTCATCTTCTTTGACTAAATTCTCCTAGCTACTCCTTTTAAATCACCCTTGCCTTTCCACCGATCGGATGTTTTAGGCCGGGGTTTTAATTCCGCACTGTTTAATTTGTTTTGTTTTGTGTTTCTGTACTTAATTTGCTTTGTTGTTTTATCTTTATTTGTATTTGTTTGTTTATTTAGTTTTAGATCAGTTTATAAGATTTTTGTTGTTGATCTTTTTAAAAATAAGTGTTCAGAATGGGACAAAAATGTAAAAGGCGTTATTCCTGTCGGCATATTCACCCCCCCCCCCCCCCCTCTCCCCCGTTACTCTAACTAAAAGGGACTTTTATGAATTATGCTCTTTAAAATATAGGAATATTAAAGTAAAAGGTGTTTCTGCTGTATCAAGGCCCTAATTATTATCCTTTTAATTACTAGCTATATATTAAGGAGAGGAAGGCAGGAAGGATAGGGCCGTTGGTACAATACTGCTGGGGGGGGGGGGGTCGGAGCAAGCGAGCCTGAGAGCGAATTTCGCATCCAAAACCGGCTAGCTAGCTAGCTGTGCATGTACTGCATGCACTGAACAACTTCACTGAGCTGAGCTGACTAGTGGTGTAAACTTCATCCGCAAAATGGATCGGAAACTTGTATTTTCTCACTTTATTTTGGCGTTTGCCATTGCGAACGTTATGGCAGCTGATAAGTACGATCGCAAATCGAATCGTGTAGACAGGCCAGATCTAGATAAGATGGACAAGTCTTCAATGATGGGGAGAGAATTTAAGTCTCGACAAGTCATTCAAGTTTGGCAGAAGGCTGATCGTGTAAGTTCCTCATTGGTCGCCACCGCTAACGCTACGCCCCTTTAATCTTACTGTGGTCCTACCTGTTAAGATTTGTGTTGTGTTTAGTTGATGTCTCACATAGTCTAATTCAGTCTCACTCTCAGAATGGTGAAACATCAAACTGAAGAAAAAATTTGTTCTCTATGTAATTAGATCTAGGGTCTACTATTAGTTATCAGTTTTTACTACTATTCAAGTTAACTAGTCAAGAACTGGTATTTTGGGGGCAATTTACTGTCTTTCTGAATGATACAAACGGAAACCGGAGAGTGAAATTGTCTAAAACTTAAAAATAAAAGTTTTAAAAAAATAAAGTTTTGAAAAACTGAGTAACACTACAGTAACACTTGCAACAGATAGATTTTAGTACAAAATTAGAACTGAGCTTATAGCTTATAGCGAAGGAGAAGGAGAAGGAGAAGGAGAAGAAGAAGAAGAAGAAGAAGAAGAAGAAGAAGAAGAAGAAGAAGAAGAAGAAGAAGAAGAAGAAGAAGAAGAGAGCACTGGGGGAGTATTCAATGTACATCTATTTCTGTCAATGACTTTATGATATTCCTCCTCCCCCCCCCCCCCTCTCTCTCTCTCTCTCTCTCTCTCTCACTTTCCATGGATAGATGAATCTTGCTCAAACCAAGATGAAGGATCTGCACAGGGAGCTGCTCCGCGTTGATGGCATGTACCACAAGATGAAGAAGGAATCGACCGCAAAGCAGCCCGACAACAGAATCAAAAGTGAAAAAGAAACAGAAATGACCATCCAGAGACAGATTGGAGGTAATAAAGAAACAGTCGAAGCTGTCACAGTGGCCACCTCTTTATAAAGTCCACCTGTGACCTGTCTATTGTAACCATTCATAATGTCTTCCTCTTGCCTTGAATTTGTTGAGCTGACCCTGTTTTTGCAAGGGGCCACCACACCCACCTTTTTACAGCTTTTTTTTCCCCTTTTGTTACTTGTTATAGGCAGAATACTTATTAGAGATATACAGATTACATAGCTCTAGAGATTTCAAACACTCATAACTTTCATATTATTGGACAGATTTACAAATACCATTTTTAGATGCTGCTTATAAGTATCGGCTTGCATGGTGATGTAGATATACAGTAGGCTTACGGTTGCACCATGTGAGAGAGAGGGGAAATGATTGGGAAGTCCTGAAAAATACCATTCTGTTTCTCTTGTTTTTCTGCTTTCATTCAAGTGAAGTTATTATAAAGGTTGGATTGCCCTTTAATTCTTAAGCTGCCCCCATGCATTTCACCCAGTGCCACAGTGCCAATCCCTATTGTGCCAGCCACTAATCCCCTGCGTGCCAAGTTAATTTAGTAGGTTCAATTAGAGTGTGTACTTATGCACGAAAATGTGTACGTGGCACGCGAGCGAATGAGAGTTTATGTGTGCATGGCAAGCCACCAGAAACCCCGGCCCCCCCCCCCCCCCCACTGTCCTTTTCGTAACAAAAGAAAAAGGTCGACCCGTATTGACTTTACACACCAGACTGTTGCTGAAAAGGGGGGGTGCTGAAAAAGGCTCGTATACAAAAGAAAAAGGTCGAGCCGTATTGACTTTACACACCGGAAAAGGGGGGGGGGGGGTCGGTTGGAACACGCATATGCGTACCCTAAATAACACTGAGTGGGGGGGCCGGGCCAGAAACCCAATTATGTGAGCGTGGCACGCCAGCGCATGCACAGAACAGTGTTCTTGGCACGATATGAGTTAAGGATGACATCTCAAAAGCAGAAAAGGAAGTGTAGGAATTGCAAATAGTGATAAAAAATAACACTGATACCTCCTTTGTTTACTGTACAGAAATCATGAGAAAGTATGGTATGGCTGGTGGAGCAGACCGTGATCCGAAGATGAAGTTCGACGGCATGCACATGCCTTTCGAAGACCGCAAGGTTGCCCAACTTTGGCACAAGGCACAGAAAAGTAGGTATATCTTGAGATTTCAGGATGTCTCTTGATGTTTGTATATTTATGTCTTGTAGTACTTTAAAGGGCGTGGTAGTGATAGTGACAGTGGTTGTGGTGGTGCCGATGATGATGATGATGTTGGTGGTAGTGGCTTATGATAGTGATGATGGTTTTAGTGTTGATGTCAATAGTGGCGGTGGTCGTGCTGGTGCTGGTGTTTATGGTGGTGCTTGTGTTGGTGAGTGTAATGGTAATGAGGTTCATGGTGTTGGTGATAAACGTTGTGATGATAATAGTATTTGTAGTGATGCTTGTGATGGTGGAACTAGAGTTCTTACAAGTAGTTTATTTTTAGAGATATATTTACTTCAGTGAGAGTATGGTAGTACTCAATGACACGTACACTGTCGTAGTAAACAGCAGTAATTCAAATTTCTAGTCAAGTTCACTTTATTCAATACTTTCATTAAAAATATACAAAGTAAAACAAACATACAAAAGTTAAAAAACAATATCAATATTTAACATGAGAATAACACAAGAGGAGAAGAAAGAAAGAACAAGGGGGAATTTGGAGACAGTCTCTAGTGATGTGCGTTATTTGAATTATTTATTATTTTAATAAAAAAGGGGGGGGGGGAGAAATAATTAAGTAATGAAAGTAAAAAATCGTTTGTATTGCAAATATTCCTTCCTTCCTTTAAGTGGAAACCAGCAAACCATCAGCATTACCAGTATTAACATCCAAATCATTAAAATCTGTTTTATTTTTCTGCCCAGGTAACCAGTTTACCAAGCAAGAACTTGAGGAGCTGAAGGAAGAACTGTCAAAACATGAAGAAAAACAAAAGGACTTTGACCAATTAATGGCGGAGGTTCATGGAGAAGGTAGGGAAGCTCAGAAGGGCCATCTTATATGCAGTAAATCAACGTCAAATGGGTCTGTGAGCAGGCATATTTTATCTGATCAGGGCCCCATTCGCAAAACTTGTCACCAGTGACAAATGTCAGTTGTTATGAAATCCTTGCTTCTGATTGGTCATCAGCAAATTTGTCACTTATTTTTGTCATTTATCATTGAAAAAGGGCTTTGTGAAACAGGTCCCCGATTAAGTCTGGGATACTTGGTCATTTGGTGTCCCAAGTATTTTGAAATTTCGAACAAAACTTCACATCAAATGTGTGGTTTCGCTCTATGTTTTAGTCTGATCTAAGTGCTAGAAGGAGTATGAACATGAAATAATGATCAGGTATACCATACCAAAATGTTAAATGTGGGAGGAAATAGTTTAGACTCACCATCAGCAAAAATCATGGCATCAGTTGCTGTTTTTCTTTCTTTCTTTTTTTTTTTTTTTATATAATTTTTTTTAAATATCTTTTATTCCTACTTCAGAAAAGAGTTATCTTTATATTGCTTTGAAACTCCTTTCTTTCTTTCTTTTACATTGGCAATAAAAAATGTACCTTCTGTGGTCATACATGCATAGACTGATTCAATTTTGACCCCTTAGAGAAAGAATAGACGGTCATAGAGAGAACTAATTGCTTTCCAAATATAAAGAACTGTCTCATGCATCATATAGAAAATAAAAAAGTGGGAACTTGCTTTGTGAGGGAAAGGATAGCAACTGAGGTAAAAAAAAAAAAAAACAGTAAGACACACCCTCCTCTTTTTCCTTTAAACTTGAGAGCACACACATGCCTAACCTCTGAAAGATAAGGTGTTAAACCTACGGGGAAACTGAAAAATCCTTGTCCATTTATCCACTGCGTACAAATGATGGATGCTGTTATTCATGTAGTAAGTATAAAATGGGACTAAAAGAATTCAGTAGTCAACGGGTTTAGAGCAAGGCTATCGTTTGAGTGTTCTGGGGGGTGTTTCACAAAACCTATCATCACTGACAAAGGACAGTTTTTGTTATCAGACAGTTCAGTTACTGAAATCCTTGCTTCTGATTGGATATCAGCAGATTTGTCACTGATTTTTGTCATTTGTCATCGTAAAAATGCTTTGCGAAACAGGTCCCTGTTTTCTGTCCCTGTAATACCTAAGTGACACTTCAATTTGACTTTGCAGATGGCACTAAGTCCAACAACGCCGACCGCTTCGAGGGCAAGAAGCCCGAGGAGATCCGCCAGCTCCGCATCAAGGAGATGGAGCTGAAGGTGCAGCACCGGGAGATCGCCAAGGAGTTTGAGAAGATCTCGGTGAAAACGATGCCCAAGGAGGAGAGGGGTCCATTCACAGACAGGCGTGTCATCAGCCTTTGGCAGGAGGCCAAGAAGCAGGATTACTCCATGGATGATCTGGAGGCAATCATGGTAACACTTTGCAACAAATTTGAGTTCTGGTTAAAAAAAAGAAAATGAATTCTCACAGAATCAAACGAAACTTACACTGAATGTTCAAGATTACAAATAAATGTCATTTGCCAAACAATTTTGGTAGAAAATGTAAACAGGCTGAGTAATGAGCATAGAAAGATAAGGAAATCAAGGTTAGTAGCCCCGACACCATGTGTGTTGTCGAATGTCCCATATACATCTTTCTGTGTAAGTGATTGTTACTTTACCAAGACTGGGCCAAATTTATTATGATTTTGATGACTTCAGAACCTTGCAGTACACACCAATACTTACATGTACATGCTACATGATCAACTTTTTCAGATCCATCCCACATCTTTTCTTTCACAATGCAATCGCATGACCAGAACTTAACTTAATCTTTAAAGCCTATCTGCACTAGTTTGGCCAGGAGAGATTAGACCTCCCTGCGTGGTCCCTGGCAGGTGATTATCTCATCAAATCAACTCTCAATTTAACATAAGAAAAAGGGGACCATGGGGGATCAATGGGTACCGCTTAGGCATTGTTGGCTGTATAGAGGGTGCAAGTAGCTACAAGTAGTGCAGTCCCACTTAAATATCATAATCAGTTAAATTAAATCTGTATTCTCATTACTTTTAGAACCGTTACTGCTGTTGTCCCCATTACTATCGTTATACCCCCCCCTCCCCCCCCCCCCCCTCTTGCCCTCATATTCAACAACATCCAACTTGATGAATTATACAGGCATGAATATCTGCTTCAACGAAACCTGTCTTTAAAGACCACCCAAGGGAGACAAGAAAGGGGTCTTTATGGGCAGGTGGTCTTTATGCACAGGTTCATGTAGTAAGTGTTTCAATGAGAAACCATTTTCAAGATAAACAAAAATGTGGTCTTTGTAGATGGGTGGTCTTTCTATACAGGTGATCGCTAAAGAAGGTTTGACTGTACTATGAATGTGTCTCTAAATGTAACTGCAATTTGAGTTATGTCTGTTTAATGTGAAATTACCAAAGCATGTACAGTGGAAATTTGTCATTAAGAGCTCAGATATGGAGGGATAAGGTATCCTGCTCGTCCTAGCTCTTTATATTCTGTTACTTGTAACCCTGATAGAACAAGGTAATCTTTTTGGTCCCCAGTATCTCTGCTAGAATGAGTTTCCCCTGTATTTTGTTTGAACCCCTTTTACAACTCAGCCTACAACCTTACATATCTGCCTCCAAGCTTCTTATGCTAGGTTTATATTATGTTCCAGGCGGCCACGGCAGCCCTGTTTGCCTGAAACATGGGATTTGGGCCATTTTTCTCTGTATTCAATTTATTTTCTACATACTGTCACGTTTTGTTGCGTTCACCCCATTTTACTACGGACTATTAGGTTTCTCATTCACACCGTGACTGCCGTGGCAATTTTGTTGACAGTTTAAGAAATCTGGCCTGGCATCCATGGCAATTACGGCCTGTTGCGTTTGCCCATTATGTCCCTTTAACATAATAAACCTTACATTAGACGAGGATGAATCCTTGATTTTGCAATTAAAATGTTGTTACTTTTTACCCTTCCTATTGCCATGCAGATGGAGTTGAAAGAATTTGAGGAGAAGATAGAGGAGCACGATAAAGCCCACAAAGCGTCGCTGAATGCCGAGATCAAACACAGGTCAGGCTTCAAGAGCCCTGTCGATAAGATGAAGACCAATGAGCAAAAGAGCATGTATGACAAAGCCAAGGAAATGGGTATTGGGGTAAGTCGACTGAAGTAATTTGAGATCATTTTTATGAATTGTTGTCTCCTACAAGGAAGTGAATCGTTACTCCAAAAATAGATAGGTGGAGAATTTAGAAGGATTTACATTTTATGGAGGGCCTTGATGAAAACTGAAATTTGCAACATGGGTCATTTTATCTTGGCCTATGACTTGTTGTAATGCGCCTGTCAGTGGCAAAATTTAACTTAAAATTATTTTAGTAAGCTGTACCGGTACTTGAGATTGGATTTCTTTGTGATAAACAAAATTTATTGGAAATGTCCATTGTCCAGTTTTATGGTTGCCATACTTAAACATGAAGATGAAGTATGAGATCATTGAGATGCCACCTGTATTTTGTGCATTGTATTTTATCTGTATTTCATCTCCTTGGTAGCACCTCTCTGCACCCTCTCTCTCTTTCTCTCTCTCTCTCTCTCTCTCTCTGCACGCCCCTCCCTTCTCTCTCTCTCTCTCTCTCTCTCTCTCTCTGAAGATCTGTCTGTCCATCACTCTCTTTTGCCATACCTCTTTCTGAATCTCTTGCATTTTTTCTTCTAGTTGTCATTTTTCTATCTCATTTGCTCTCTCCCACCGTTTCCCTCTACACGTCTTAATTTACAAGAAAATATGAACTCTCTGTCATCCTATGCTTCACTGTGTTGATCCAATACCATCCTGTTTCACATAGTGTTGCTGATGGACAACTCATCAACTTCCTTACATCCTCCCCCCCCCCCCCCCAACCAATATATTTCGTTGGGGGGGGGGGGTATATTTGAATAGAAAATGAGGTCAGATTTATTCTTTATCCTTTGCCTTGCTTTCTTAGATCCACCATACCATGAAAGAGCTTCGTCACAGGATCTCTCAAGGAGGGAAATGGAACGAAGAACTCTAATCTTAACTGAGATTATATGCCTCGACTCAAGCAAGGATCTTCACCAAAGTGTATTTTTTCTTGAGAACCTCAATGTCTTTCATAAGGAACATGCTTTTGTATTCAAACAGAGGGTGGGGTGGGGGAGGGGAGGGGTTTTGAGGTTGGACTAGGGTAAAACTCCAACCATTCTTAGTAGTTTCCAACAGGGAAATCTTACTGATCTCTCGAGCATGGAACATAAATTTTACACACACAGTCTACCATTTTGATTATTACCTCTTTAAAATGGGTGTTGCTTTTTTATGCCTCCGCCACCGAAGGTGGTGCCGGAGGCATCATGTTTTCGGGTTGTCCGTCCGTCCGTCCGTCCGTCCGTCCGTACGTCCGTCCGTCCGTCCGTACGTCCGTCCGTACGTCCGTCCCGTTTGACCGTTATCACAATATCTCAAGAACCATTTAAGATTTAAACTTAAGACTCGGGAATAGTATTTATCACCATAGGAAGACGATCTGATTAGATTTTGGAGTACGTAGGTCAAAGGTCACAGGTCACAGAGGTCAACTTATGAAATTCCTTGTATTGAGTTTGTTAGCGCGATATCTCAAGAACCATTTGAGATTTAAACTTCAAACTTAAGGATAGTATGTATCACCATAGGAAGACGATCTGATTAGATTTTGGAGCACGTATGTCAAAGGTCAAGGGTCACAGAGGTCAACTTATGAAATTCCATACATTGAGATTGTTATCATGATATCTCAAGAACCACTGGAGATTTAAACTTCAAACTTGGTGATAGTGTGTATCACTATAGGAAAACAATCTGATTACATTTTGGAGCACGTAGGTCAAAGGTCAAGGGTCATAGAGGTCAACTTATGAAATTCCATACATTGAGATTGTTATCATATCTCAAGAACCACTGGAGATGTAAAAACTTCAAACTTAAGGATAGTATGTATCACCATAGGAAGACGATCTGATTAGATTTTAGAGCACGTAGGTCAAAGGTCAAGGGTCACAGAGGTCAACTTATGAAATTCCATACATTGAGATTGTTATCATAATATCTCAAGAACCACTGGAGATTTAAACTTCAAACTTAATGATAGTGTGTATCACCATAAGAAGACAATCTGATTAGATTTTGGAGCACGTAGGTCAAAGGTCAAAGGCCACAGCGCACATTATGAATGCAAAAACAGCTTGTGATCGCGTTATCTCAAGAACCGATTGATGGATTCATGCCAAAATTACATGTAGGTCATGTTTGTTACTTGCAGAGCCAATGAACTGAGTAGATTCTTGGTTCATAAGGTCAAAGGTCAAAGGTCATGGGCCCATTATGTATGCAAAAATAGCTTGTGAACGCATTCTCATTAGAACTGACAGATGGATTACTATTTAACTCAGAACATCTTGCAGAGCCAATGAACTGAGTAGATTTTATGGTCATGAGGTCAAAGATCAAAGGGTCATATATGTATATGAGAAATTGCTTGTAATCACAATATTCTGAGAACCTGTCAATGGATTACCATTGAACGTGAATTCAATTTTTTTTTTCTGTTTTGGTTTGTAAAATTGCTCTATAACGGAGGCATCATTTTCGACTGCGCGCAGTCGAATTCCATCTAGTTTTTTAATGAAATTTGTTCATTTACTAATTCATTTGCCAATTTATTAGCAGAATTTATTTGTGTTGCTTCAAATTTTACACAGAAATATTCTATACTTTGTCACCGATTGGTTGGGATTCGAAGAAAACCTTCAAAACTGCTGTGTCTGCATGGATAGAGTGGAGTTGTAGAATGGCTGTCGGACTGGCTTCAGCTGCATGGATTAACAAGCTATCCATGCATGTTATAGAGATCATTGGGCTCTGTAAATATACCAAAGGGCTGAAATGTTCAGAAAATAATAAATCCTCCTGACAATAAACAGTATGCTTTATGTTGAACAGTAAGTCACGTATTTAAAATTCAAACCCTGCTGAAATAAAATTTAACGTGATATGTTCACATAATCAGAACCTGAACAACTCGAGCTTCCCATGACATTATAATGCAACTTTTTTTTTTAGAAGTACCTATAGTGTTGTGACTTGTCTTTGAATGTTTTCATAACCAAATTCGGTGACCTACCGGTAACAGATTCCCTGATGACATGTGCTCTAGACTTTATTCCAACAATGACATATAGGGTTAGGGTAAGGTTAGTGATTTGGGTTGTCAGTGAGGTTTAGGGGTAGCGATAGTGTTTGGTGCAAGGTCGAAGTTGGGAATTTGTTAGTATCCAAAATTGATCACAGAGCAAATGTAGTAGAAGCAACGTAAAAATTGCAGCATCTAATTTTAAAACAAAAAAGAACATTTAGTTTTGCTGTATGTTTCTCACAACTCATCTTATATACTTTTGTGTGTGGTGGTTTGTAGGGCAGGGCCCCCGTCTTACAAAGAGTTGATATCAATCGCAACTATAAGAGATAAAAGACTGCAAAGTTGCGATTAATTTGGATCAATCGCAACTCTTAGTAAGATGGGGCCCAGGACTCCATAATTACTTTTCTTGTGCCCTATGCACCTGTGTAGAGCACCATATGTATATTGTGGTCATAGATTTTATTCATACAGTTTGTATCAAAGAGATTCCTTTCGGTGCCATACATATCTAAAGAAGTTTAATTTCTAAAAGTTAGTTATATTGAAGGATAAACCACCAGACTGACGTGATGACTTGGTATTACAAATCACCTTAGCATAGAATATTATTCTGCTTTTGAAAAGAATATTTATATTTTTCCATCTTGAAATTTATAAATGCTGCACACCTTCATGTATACTTTGTAGAACAAGGAAGTCTTGAATGCTGTGAAGTAGAAAATGATGACACTTATTTAAATGTAGTTTAAACTTATGTAGAATGTCTTTAATGTGATATTGTTTTAAAGATGGCATTAGTATATAGGCCTATTTGAGATTCTTTATGTGTACAGTAATCTATTATACAGGGTGTCCAAGAAAAAAGGGAAGCCCAGTTTACGGGTAAATAAATCGATAGTAGCAAATTATTCCTTGATTAATTTATATGTGATTGCAAAGCTCAATATTTCAGACTGTCAGAAATCAGTCATGCATGACCTCTTAATCTGGGAGTTGGTGTCATAAGAAAAGAGGGAAAATGAGCTTTCCAAAGATGTACAGATTATTTTTGTAAATAATGGTTTGGAATTCTTGAGTGATTTACCAACAAACTTGGGTTGTCCTTTTTCAGGGGCACTCTGTACAGCACTCCTTTATCTGTTAGCTTCTTCTGGTTTTCAGCTATGACCAATGGATAAAGTCATTTCTGATTATCTCAAACAAAAGTACATAATAAGGTAATCAAACTTTAACAGTTATATAGCATTGTATCGGTACTAATATTAATTTTTTTTTTTTTTTTTCAGTACTATTTTCTTGTTACATTTGAAATGTTGAGGTTGATGAAGTATGTGTATTTTCTTCAAGAAGTTATATATTAATGATGGCACAATGATGAGTTTTTTTCATCCAATTCATATTTGCATGCCTGTATGTTTAACATGTTTGTAACGACTGAACTCAAAGAATGAGAGTTGATTCTTCTAACAAATACTCAGTAATAGTGAGTTATTAATGTGTGGATATATGACTGTAATAACAATTTAAACTGAAATTTGCACCTCTTTGCAAATAATTTGTTTGAAAAAAAACATGACATGAAATGTTATGTTCTCGGTGGTTGAACAAACATTCAAAATCTCTCAGATTAAACTGTTATAGGCAGGGCCAATTTCTTTTGTTTAAATACATTTGAATTTGTTGTTCTTGTTTTTTTCAGGTGACATATTGTAATGTCAAATATAATACTTCCATTTGTCACACCAAAAATTCAAAACTTCTAGACTTGTGTTTAGTGCTGACAGTTTTAACTTCTAAGTCTATGCAACTCATGCAAATATCTAGATTGTTCTTTATCAATTTGTCCCCTTTTACAAATTTGATGCTAACAAAAATGTTTATAAAATAAGCGTCTTTGTTTAGTTTCCAGGTGCAGATTGTTATGCAATTCCATGCCAGTGCATAGTGACATGTTACTGCTGGTGTACTATTACTATATTTTGCAAATGTGTTGTTGCATCTCAAATACAAGAGATCTTAAGAATAATACTAGGGAGTTAAATCTCAGATTTGGAAGCAAGGGAGGCAACCAAAATACCTTCAAAATTCAAGATTCCACTTGCAAATAATATAGCTTCTTTATGTTCTTTTGTATATTTCCTTACATCCTGATGATGGTGTGATATTTCCTTAGTAGTAAATCATACCTCAGTGTTGTACTAAACATTTATCTGTACTTTTCGGCTGAAAAAAGTTTTATAGATATGGCCTCCTAGGCATTGTACATATTGGATGTATTCTTTAACACAGTTCTTCTTTAAGCTTGTTCATCTCAATTTAACTTACAGAATAAAGGCATCTTGTCTTCTTTTTTCACTAAAGATGTGTAGTTGTCTCTCTTTTGCTATGGTGTTTAATGTTATTGGACTTGGATATATATTGGAGATGATACATGAGAAAGAAAAGGGGAGAAAATAGAAGAAACTATGAGAGAGAGAGAGAGAGAGAGAGAGAGAGAGAGAGAGAGAGAGAGAGAGAGAGAGAGAGACAGAGAGACAGAGAGACAGAGAGAGACAGAGAGACAGAGAGAGACAGAGAGAAAGAGAGTGGGTGATTCATGAGACAAGGGAGGAAGAAGGGGAAGAGATAGGATGACACAGAGAGGAGAGGAGGGAGGAGTGACAGATATAAAGGGAAGGGGAGGAGGTGGCAAAGTTGGTTGGGAGAAGAGAGGAAAAGGGAATATTTGAAAGAGAGAGAGAGAGAGATGATAGAGAGGAAGTGTAAAGAATGATAAACCAATTACCTTTTTTGTTTTTATCTGTAATAAAATCAATTTTCAGTAACTTATTTGTGAAACTAATAATAACGTACAAATACTGCACACATGTACTTTAGCCCTATTGGGCAAAATAAACTTCAAACCATTTGCTAAATGTCTACTAGTATATTTGTTTGCCTAGGGCAAGTATGGGAATGTGTTTGTACATGATGTAACACCATACAACATCAACAACAAACAAAAGATCTAAACAGAGAATAGATATTTTGCATAAAGGTTTCTGGGTTATCCGATCGGTGACAAACAAGTACACAACTGTCAGGAGTGATTTATCATCAGATAAAGAAGACCTTATCAATCACAGCAGCGTATTATAAAACATAATAATGGCAGAGTACCAAGTCATATCTATTATCAAATATTCACAGGTCATTCAGAGGTCATTATTGAAGATAAGTGGTGACTTGTGAGTAAACAAGCTATACATGTACTCATCGATCTGTACACAGACAAAAGTGTACCTCGATGTCTATGTGTATAGTTTATGTATTTCTTCATGTGCTTTATGTACAGAATTATCACTATATCCTCTTTCTCGATATATATTTTTTCTTGAATATACAAGACTCTCTAACGAATGCTACTCTCTACTGTAAACAGTTATCTTGTCGAGTATATTTCTGGTAGATATTCAGGACAATACTCATACAGAATAAAGTAGGATAATAAGATCACTGTCTCATCAAGAAAGAAAAAATGTCACTTTGGGGTTTCTAGAAGTTCAACAAGAAATTGCCAATTTGTACACAAGAATAGTGATTATAAATTTAACAGTGTTGAGAGACTGAGATAGAAATAGAGATAAATAATTGAGACTGTAATGGTTATGCAAAATTAAATTGTTCTTACCGGTATTCATTTTCAAAAAATGTACTGCATTAGAAATGGACTCAGAATTGTTGGATTTTTGCCGTTTGTTTCTGCTCATGTACAGTACATGTACAACGTTTAATTTCTAGAATTGTGGATCAAAAGATATAATAAAGAACAACATTTACTAAAAGGTGACACTGAACTGCTATGAGCTTTTTTTTTTTTTTATTTGTTCATATCATTTGGCAGATTAATTTTTTTTTTAATTGGTTTGTTTGTCTCATTTGCTGCTTTCACACAAAGGAAATAGCTACCGAAGCTCCATAAAAGATAGGGCATACCGGTACACTGTTTCCCATAGAGTTGGAATATATTTATACATGTATCGTATATTCGCAGAACTTTATTCATCAATCTAAAGAGTCATAGAAAGATTGATGAATAAAGTTCTGGGAATACATGTACCTATCAAGAAAGAACAATATTTTGACAGTCATTTCATGAATAGAGGTTATGAAAAATTATTCCATTTTTATGAACAACAGTGTATATTGTATGATTATTATCATCACTAAATACATGTACATTGATCAGAATACAAATAAATGCTATCACACACCAAACCAAAAACACAAGAATCACATCCATTAAAATAAGAAATATCCACAGGTAGTCATTTTGTTTTCCTTTCTATAAGAAGGAACGCCATACGTGGCCTTTATGAGGTTCAGAAACACAAAATATCACATTGTCATTATCATAAATCTTTCCATACAGCTTATGAATGAATCCATAAAGTTCTCTTATATCAAAATAAATTACAAAGGATCTAGACGGTGGTCGATGAAAAGGGGTTGAAAAATGGTTACCCATGATGAACCTGTTTTCCCATCCCCAGTCTTAGAACCCCCTTTTATGATTCAGCATCAGAATACCCCCAAGTTTTACTTGGAAAGGAAAAAGTTACCAAATTTGTATCTTTGCAGAGTACAGAACTGGTTAAAAGGACATCATCATTTTACATCATCGTGGCCATGTTATAAAAAGTTGATACAATGTATGATATCAATCGCATCTCCAATCAACACAAATATATGCCATTAATATTCCATTGATTGGAGGACTTGCGATTGATTTTTGATCAAGTACAACTCTTCGTGAAACGAGGGCCTATACATTGTTAATAGGAAGCATTAAGTTGATAGGCTCCTTTAAGCATTCTCCTAGTAAATGTCAGATGACGAGACAATACAAATTAGAACAGAAGTAAATATTTGGAACTGTTAAATAATAAGGCAAAAAGGTAGGCTGACCAAAGAGGAATTGGCAGTAACTTAATAATCTCAGCACATTTTCTTCAAATTGGTATCAGTTGCTGTAATGTATTCACTATTTGGAATAAGACTCGATCCAGAATCATATTATTCCCCCAGTTACATCACATGAAGAAAAAAAAATGGAATTTTTGTAAGTACAGCAAAAGCCTTTGTAAAATATTATTTATCTCATTTAAATTCTCTTATGACAGAATAATTTGACCAAAATATAAAAACGCAAAGGCTTGGACCCAAAATCACATGAACGTGATACATGTTGTAGTAGTAATTAGATTAAAAAGACAATTTTGAACAGCATTCACATAGTTATTCAAAATACTACAAACCCTTGTCCCAAAATAAACAAATATTTCACTGAAAGAACTTTCTAAAGAACTCTGAAAGAACGTTACAGTATTCACACATGTATACAAGATTACGCCATCACTTCATTTTTATTTAATTTTTGTCCCCAGACATGATTTAAAATCTGATGAAGGGATGACATGAATCAGTCAGGCTTTACTTCCAGTTGCATCACAGAAATAATTTTATCTTAAAGTACATGCGTACATTGCTTAAAGTGATATTTCTAGACACTTAGAATTTTCCTGAATAAGTCAACAGTACATGGACCATGGACAAACCATATGTTTATATGCATTGTTAATGCAAAAACTTGCAAAAGTGGGAAATTGCATGTCAATTTTTTTTACCAAAGTGGAAAGATTGTCCAAGTCGACACCTCCTCTTAGGCAATAAGCGGGTTGATTTATGTTTCAGCATAATATAGATAGCACAAGTATCTCAAAAATACATGATTAGCAGTCTTTCTCTACACTGCTGCCATTTCAGTATGATCTATATCATATGACTTAACTCCCTTAAAAATGAGGAGAAAGTGCCCTATTACGTCCATCCCAATTTATTGCGTCGGAATAGAGCACCGTTTCTTCTTATGAGAAAGGGATGGTAAAGGTAGTCTTCTACACAAAACAAGACATCTTTAGTTGTACAAAAAGTCTGTTTGAGTGTAAGAAAAAGGAATGCTTCTAGAATAACCAGTTAGTAAGAAGTATTTTTGTTGCGTTAATTTCATGTTAAGATGTGTTTTTGCAGTTTGTACATACTGTATGTACATGTAAATGATGAAGCTGCGATAATCACACAAATATATATATAGTTGGGCCCGAAAGTTAACATAAACCTGGAAGTCCCATGTTTATATGTCTTAGGCCCTAATATGTCTCACAGTGATAAGTGATGTACAAACTACATGTACAGTGCATATCCAATAAAACAGAGACAAAACTTGTCCATCTTCCTGATGTGAAAAGCAGGCAGGAATGAGTGAAATTTTGTACTGCTTTTCTACCAGGTGTATGTCAACTTTCGGGCCCAACTACAAACTCAACGGGAGAATTAAAAGTGCTAGAAAGGATACCATTTCCTATGTACAATCTATTGAGGTAATATAGTTTAGCCGCAGGTTCCCTTAAGAAATCATATGCCATCCAATGAAAAAAAATGCAGTGGTGATGGAACATTTTTTATAACCTAAATTTCTCCCCATCAAAATAGACAAAATCAATATGGCCCAACTGTGGGAATCTAACAATACTGGCGAGAAGAGAAAGAATAAAATGAAAGATGGCAAAATTCAAGGTCGACGATGGGACTATCTTTTGTACGATGTCAAGGTGACATTAACAGGTAATGATCTCACAATGAAGAATACATCATCAAATGAAATACTATACTATGAGAAAGAGCTGCCTAAAGAAAGTGGGACCTCGCGATATGTCGTAACAACTCGATTACTCGATATACATTTATGTAGCACTAAAACAAAATGACCATGTCAGAGTTTGGTTTGATTGATATAAATGCAAGGATGCTCCTACGAACAAATTTCTGCACATGTATGCTCAGAGACCCGATTTCTCTTACTACACCTTAATAGGAATCTACATGCATGTATGTCCTAATGTATAATCCAGCATCTCCTCTCCCTCTAAACTATAAAATTATGAAAAAGTAAGCAATTGCGATTTGGATGTGTTACCATTTATATCTTTCATAATCACAAGTATTTTAGCTCAAATGAGCTGAAAATATCAACACTAAATTGTTGTGCCTTGTGGCTATGCTTATGAAGAAAAGCTGACAAAGTAAGGCTTACGATTACGAATGAAAAGATATTTGAAGAGAACAAGAAATGTATGACACAATTTTTGTAAAAAATGTATTGCACCTAGAATCTGTGTGGTAAATATACTTATACATTTGCATTGACAGAGAGACAAGCGGTTAGGGACTAATGACGTTTTAAACTTATCATGAGTCAACTTTATGCTGCATTACTCAAGATCAGAATCTTGCCCCTTGTTCTCTTGAAATAATATTTATGCAATATTTATTTCGGACGTCAGGACAGGAGCCTTTTCAAAAAAATTGTCAGGAAATATGTTTTGAAAACACCCACTGGACAAAACAAGGAATTCCAGGGTATGATTTGTTTGACAATACACAAGTCTCACTTTGACCTGACAAATAGGACAGGATTTCCATTTAATATTTTGATTAAATTTATATATTTTTTCTCTATCAGGAACTTATTAAGTAAACATAACAAGTAGAACTGCAGTGGTGAAATAAACAGTTCAGTATCATATGTCTTCTTTTTTTTTACCAGCAGTACACATTCCTTCTTTTTTGTCTTAACTAGCCTTCTCGAACAGTTGTTTCATTGTATGTTGGTCCTCAGTCTCAGATGTCCATTTGGAACTGATCTTCAGCAGGGTCTGGTACAGAGACAAAGAATTGAAGGGAGAGAATATGAAATGGAGAGAATATGAAGTGGATATACAGCTGTATGGTACCAGGGCATGCCTTACAAACTGTTAAAATTATACACTGTTAAAGCAGACACTTTTGCTGCTTTCCAGTTTTAAAGCCTGTATGTACTAGGGAGTCTAGGCTAGTATGTACTAGTTTGGCCATGATGGGTAAGACCTCCCTGCAAGATCACTGACAGGTGGTGTACTCATCAAATCAGCTCTCAATTAACATAAGAAAAAGGGGATCATGGGGGACCAACAGGCACCGATTAGGCATTGTTTGCTATAGCGGTCGCAGGTAGCTGTAAGTAGTGCAGTGGTGCTTTAAAACTTGTTAACAAATAACAATAGTCCATTTTTGCATCAATAAATGGCATTTAAAAAGCCTCTCTCCTATTCTTCTTAACAATTTTAGGTCAAAAATTTGATAAGGATTCTTTGGGAGAAACACAAATATGAGTTGACCAGCATGTCTTCAGAGAAGACAATTATCTATCATCTTCCGGGTGATTACTCTGCTACTGGGAAATCACACTACTTACAGTTTTATTTTTTCAATCTGATCTGTCTTTGTCTTATTCTTCTTTATTTTAAAAATAAAAATCATTTACAGACAATCATGTGATTTCCAAAGTCAAAGGTGTTGAAACAGAATCTACAGGCTACAAGTCTGATCAGTGTTATCTTTACATGCAATGATGATTGAAGTACATGTAGAAAGATCTTGAACTCTATTTTGCTTCATTGAGAAAGAATAAAGACAGACTGTATAAAAACAAAAGCTCAAATATCAAACTTCTATATAAACTTGCCAAGACAACTAAATTATGAACCGGAAACTTTCATGGGCATAACTTTCACGGTTCAGAATCGCTTCCTTTCATGCCACAAAAATACTTGAATCACAATTGATACAACACCAAATATTTGCAGCTCAATATATTTTTCCTGCATTGCAGACCGCTGTCCATAACAATTTCCTCAATTTTCTGGTTTGATTTGGTGTATTTTATATTTCAACGGATCCGGGGTAGCTCAGACCCGGGGACAACTCGGCCACGCTGCAAAAATGGTCATTTTTTTTCTTCATTTTACCCTAATCCTGACCCTAAACCTGCAAAAAAAATGATCATTTTAGCAGCAGGGCCGTGTTGTCCCCAGGTTTGAGTTAGCCCGACTCCATTTCAACATACCTGTTTTGGTGGCAGTCTTGCGCGCTCCGTTGGGTTTTTCGGCACCAGCGCCCACTTCTGGACAGGTGACGCCAGGGATTGAAGGCAGATTCTTGGGAGGGGTCTGGCTGAGCGGGGAGTTTCTCATGTTCAACAGGAAGTTTCGGTCGTAAATGATGCGTGTTCCTACATGTATAAAAGGTAAAGGTATAAACATAGGTCACAAATTTTCCAGTTAGAGATGTACAGTTAACTGAATTTTTCATACCCTTAGTCTTACAAAGGTTTGAAATTTGTTAAGTATGTGAAAATTTGATTTGTCCTAATTTATGTTTTTGAGACTGTGACGTATAAAAGCTTATATCTCAAAGTTTTCAACAAAGATTTGGACCCTTTAATAATAATAGTTTGAGATGAAAGCTTCAATAATATGTCACATTCTTAAGAAACATAAATTGGGACACGATTTAACTCAGAAGGGCTTTTTCTTTTTGGAGGACCATAAAATAATATGGTAACCATAATATTAATATATTTTTATCCTCACTGATAGACAACAGGCAGTCGTAGTTGATGGATCCAAATCAACATGGAGGGATGTAACATCTGGAGTCCCCCAGGGATCCGTCATCGGCCCTACCCTCTTCCTGTTGTATATCAACGATATCCAAGACAACATCCAGTCCACAATGCGTCTCTTCGCAGATGACAGCACCGTCTATCGTGAGATTCGATGCCCTGAGGACCATCAAATCCTAAAGGACGATCTCCAACAGCTGTCCAGGTGGTCTTCAAACTGGATGATGGACTTCAACGTGAAAAAGTGCGCTATCCTCACCATCACACGGAAGCGTACTCCCAGCATCCGAGAATACCACCTGTCAAATGGACTGATTCCGAGAGTGAAAGAGTACAAGTACCTTGGAGTAATGGTTGCTGCTGATCTCCGTTGGAACAAGCACTGCCAAACCATCCGGCATAAAGCAAGCCGTACCCTAGGTCTTCTTCGCAGGACTCTCTCACCCTGTACCAGGGATGTAAAGTCCAGGGCCTACACAGCCTTAGTGCGCCCCCAATTGGAGTATGCCTCGGAGGCTTGGAACCCACACAGCGTCACAGTCACAAAAATGCTAGAGCAAGTACAAAGAACAGCGGCTCGCTTTGTGTACCGTGACTACAGATACACCACATCACCATCAGCTCTTGTGGCAGCTCTAGGGTGGGACACGCTTCACACACGTCGAATCCTCGACCAATGCACCCTTCTCTACAAGATCCATCACCGACTTGTCTCCATACCTGCACCAACTATTGTTATCCCTGCTACATACTTCGGAAGACATGACCACAACCTGAAGTATGTAATTCCTGTTGCAACTATCGACTCCTTCAAGTTCTCATACTACCCAAGAGCAATAAGGATCTGGAACCATCTGCCAGGCTCAGCAGTCAATGCAACAGGAATAACCAACTTCAAGGAGGCTGCTCTACCCTCCATCAGAATGATGCAGCCCCCCGTTGGTTCTCACATCATATAAGCTTACTAGCTTGGTTTTTACTTGCACTGGACTTAGCATATTTTACTGTAAATTGACAAGTGCTTTGTCCACACACCATTCCAGCAATTCATGACACTCCTTGTAGTCACTTGCCTCACCTACCATCCCAGTATAGCTTCCTGAGTGAGCTGCCAAAGGGATTACCCAACCAAGTACCAAGTACCAAGCAGTAGGGGTGCTGGTCCTAGAAAATAAGGATCGTTCACAGACGATCCTTATTAAAATAACTGATTTTGCGATGATGCTCCATGATGCATTTCTCATTGACGCAGCACAGAGACTTTCACGTTATGATTATGAACAATAAATCCTCAGGAAGACGGACAAACCGTAAAAATAGACGGCGTACTAGGGTTATATAACGCGGAATCCGGAATTATTTTGCATTGCCAGCACACGGAATGGGAACCCTTCATCCGCAGAAAAAAATGTCAGCTAAAAAAAAAAATTACGACGCAATTTGTCTTTTTTTACGAGGATATTCCCATTTAAACTTTATGCGGACGATCCTCATTCTCGGACCAGTTCCCTAGCTAGGCCCTAGTACAAAGTAGTAGTAGCCAAGGGAGAAGGCACTATTTTTGTACATGACAAATGAAATGGAAGAGTTATCCGAAACTATGTCACAATCCACTGACCAAACTGCCAATATAAATTTACTTAGATCTAGACACGTCTAGATCTAGACATTATTTTTGGCATGGCATTAAAACCGATTTTTTTTTTTTTTTTTTTTTTTTTTTTTTTTTTTTTTTTTTTTTTTAAACTTCCGTTTTCCTGCTTTCAAGTTTCATAAATGATACAAATGAGGATTGGATTGCTCTTTTATTAGTTTTAACTTAATTCCCAATATACCAGACGGTTATTATTGTCTAGACTCTAGACTAGACCTAGTTTACTACAGAGGTATAATTTATAAACATTGTTCGATAACATGACGACGACGGCGCCAGCAGCGCGACAGCGGAGAGAGCGCCCCGTATGTAAACATGCGGGACCTTGCATACGCACCTCCAGGGGTGGTTGAAAACAGAGTGCCTCCTGGTGTTGTGCTGTAATCGTGGGGAAGCTGCGATGGGTCGTTAACGGTTACTCTTTTCGACGGAATATCCCGACCTGCGCTGAGTTGACGACTTGCTGCAGGGGCTGACATTTTGCTTGATTTTTTGGAGATTACGGGACAGCTAAAGTTGCAAAGGAAGGGAAGGCTTTTGAGGTTCGTTTGAAGGTAAATATTGTGATGACGGATTTGTAGGGGAAATCCGCATCGGACGTTACAGCGAGGAGGTACTCGTGTTGCCAATTTTATGAGTGACTTAAAAAAATATATTTTTAAGTCTAATTTCAATCAATAATACTTGTTAATATAATATTTGTACAACTTAGTATATTTAAAGAAAATTATATGCTTTTATATCCATAAAACACTGGCAATAATCAATAATTCTTTTTTTCCTTTAGTATTTAATCATGTACCAAATTGATACTCAAATTTAGCCTTGCTGAAGTTACCGAAGAAATCACATCTTATGGAAATAAACATGCCATATTTTCCATAATCACGTTCAGCTGTATCGAATATGAAAATTCTGAAGCGAAAATTGATATTATTTCTAATTATATACTATTTCAATGAGACTCTAAGAAATTCAGAAAGACTGTAGTCGAGAAAAATCGTAAATTTTCAAGTTGGATTTGTTCCAATGGGTCGACGACACATGCAATCAATGCTCCTTCCTACGAAGATGATGTAAACAAAACCACGTGATTGTAGCAAGCACGCACGCACGCCTACAATAACCTTTGGAGCTAGGGTTGAAAGTTCGGACTATTATTCAAGGTTGACTTTATTCTCCGGAAAATCCGAAAACCGAGTTCTCAGCTCACATGACAGCTTTACTCAAAATGGCAGCAGAAGCTGTGACAAGAGTTGTACTAAGATGTGAGAAGGCACAAGAAGATAAACAATTAGGTGATATATTTATTTCATAATGTAAGGTTTTTCATATAGATCTTCACCTGTAAGACTGTATTGCGCGGATAGATAGCTTGTAGATGTAGTTTTAGCAGCTCGCGTCTCCGGCTCGCGTCTTTGCAGAAAAGGTACTTATTCAAAGTCAGTGGCCGAGAGCTGAGGCGCTGGTGTCCGTCCGTGTCCGATGCCTCAAGCCAACTTATGCGTAGAGATGGGCGTGGCAGCCACGCCCCTTTATTTTCCCATGCAAACTATTAATATATTAAAGGTAGATCTTCATCATCGGTATGTACAAATGATACATACATGCTTTCCCTTAAACAAGACTCTAGTATTCATTTTTGTTCAGGTAGATCTCTGGGTCTATTTTAATTGCTGTCTGATGTTGCCATTTTTACTGGGATTCCTGGGCCTGGCCCCTGAGGATAATATTTGAGGATTTTGTATCATTTTGTACCTGTGTCAAAAAAACATATTGCAATTTTTTGCATGCAGTCTATTTTTAGATTGTCCATTCACTTAATACCGTCGTACATGACGACAGAATTCATTTAGGATATAATTATGTTGGGATGATTATAATATGGAAAGAACATACAATCCTTATCCAATTTGTGAAGACTCAAAAAAATGTACCTTTTTTTTCTTCAGCATGTTAATTATCAGTTTAAGGTAAAGACCAGTATTGGAAACGCCCCAATTTCAAAAAATGAACTGGAAGCTCTTATTACCAATCATCGATTTCACAACATTTCTTTCACTACGCATTTGCATGACCATAACTGGTCTTTAGCTTTAACCAATTGCCTCCTGGAAATCAATTGTTCCTATGTTTCTGGGGAATAAAATGATGCAGTAGTCTATGTCATAATTATTCATATGAATACTATGGTTTTGACTTTTGATTTTTGTTTTTGATAAATAAAAGATTAAATGAAATTGATTATGAGCTGGCCCTGATATCTAATTTCAATGAAAGAAATACATGTAGTATAATCGGTTTCTTGTGCCCTCTTTAGTCGGTCATTTTCTGATTTAAGCTTATTTTGGCTCTTTTTTTCATCAGATTTATCAAGTTGTCTCTTAGAAGCTGTTCCGCAAGCAGTCTACCATCTCCTGAGAAACACCGAGTTGTCAACCCTTGACCTTTCCCATAATGCACTCACTATAATATCAAAGAAACTTCCTTTGAAATTCCCCAAAGTTACAGGTAAGAATGATTAGGAGCATAATATGTAAGAGACCCCGAATTGATCATTACTTTTCTTTCTATATTTTTGTTCTTTTCTTTATGTCTAATAATTCTTTTGCTGTTTGATCTCCTTGTGAATCTAAAGCGAGCTAGTCAAGGATTGTGAATGTCAAATGAACAAGGTCATTATCAAATTGATGCTTATCATTCATGTGACCTCTCTTTCTGTTTGGATGTTCATTTTACCTTTGTTCGCGTTTTTCATACTTGTATTTCCTATTTACTCCTATATATTTTCTATGTAGCTCTAAACGTTTCAGATAACAAGGTTGAGAAGTTACCCGATGAAATCAATGAGATGACTCTCCTAGAAACATTGAATGTCTCGCACAACCAGCTATCCACCTTGCCAGAGAGCTTCTATGAATTGCCAGCCCTCAGAATATTAGATTTGAGCCACAATGTAATCACAGGTAGGCCTTCACATCCTACCAATATTGTTTTGGGTCATGAAATTACCAACTATAATTGTTATAAACTTGTTCTCTGTTTGTCAGAAATTGTTGAATTGTGCCACCAGTACCCCCCCCCCCCCCCTCCTTACAATCATGAATGCATCACTGATTTACTATTCTCTTTGTATTAGAGGTAGAATTGTCATGTTTGTTAGAGTAAGAATGGTACTCCAATTTAAGAATGCACATATTGGAATCCAAATTAAAATAAAACAAATTTAACGATGTGAAAATGTAATTAATTAATGATGAAAACAGAGAAGCCAGGAAATACTATCGTCTGTATTTTACTAATTTAGTTATGCCCGACCTTAGGTCTAGAGTCAAGTTTAACCACAAAAGGGTTAAACCTCTGGCTAACTTCTGGCCATTGTACTTACTACCAATAAAGTTCCTAAATCTTCAAGAAATTGTGTTGATAAACATCATTTAACAATAATATCCTTTTGTTTATTTCCCTGTTGTCTCTGCAGATCTAGATGCAAGCAAACTGTGTGGAATGCCTGGAATCCAAGAAATCAACCTGGAGCACAATCCACTACCTGGTGATATCTGCACTCAACTATTACAACTATCTCAGGAATCTAACATAAAACTTTTAATATCAGAGCCGCCTTCCTCAGATCACATGGATTAAAGGCAATGTTTTTGTTGTTGCTTTGTTTTGTTTTTTTGGGGGGTAGGGGGATTCAGTGCCCCTCCCGCCTCCTGCTTCCTCCTTGTTAATATCAGAGCTGCCGCCATCAGATAAATTGGATTGAAGGCAATTTATTGTTTGTGCTGTGCCCCTTCCCCCACCCCTTTCCCTTTCACACTGGACATTTATCATGTTTGTCTTTCTGTATTCTATTTTTTTTTTTTTAAACCAAGATTTAAATAGGTTTCAATACAACATGGCAAGTTCTCTCGTCCCAAGGAGGTCGTTACAATGAGACTTCACTGTACATGCATGCATCTGAAACATTATACAAAAGTCACCGCTAGTGCATTGTCCTTTTCCCTGAATTATTTTATTATATGCCATGAACTTTGTGTGTGAAGAAGGTGAAATAAGAAAAATTAGGATTTTTAAAATAATTTTCTTACAAAAAAACAATTGGCTGAAAAGAAGTGAGATATACATTGCTTTACAATTTTTTTGTGAATCCATCTACTTTGAAGCATATTCTTACAATAGTCAAATACATTGAGGTCAAATTTGTTGAGGTTTCAATTTGAATCTGGGAGAGCAAACCCTTTTACTGTTTACAAAACGAATCACAGATTGGCAAGGCTTCCTCTCTCAACTAGCTATGGTACAAGTGGCATGCTGCCATCTTGTGTTTAAAATAGTACAGTCATCAGGCAACTGAGAAATAGTACATGAAACAAATTGTTGTGCTTCCAATAACTGTTCTTTCAAAAAAGGACACCTTGAAGTTTCATGGGTATAGTGATAAATATTGCCTTATAACAATAATTTGTCTTTCAATGATTTCACTGTTAGATAATTGTGAATTGAAAATTGATGTTGATTTTCTGACTCGGTAAATATTGATTCTATTTATTACATTACTGTATATCACGGTTTGTAATCTTTCTGATATATTGTCTAAATTTGAAACAGCAATGATTTTCTTTGCCTTATCTGTATTATATAATAGACAAAGATTTTTTGAGGGTTTTATATTTTTGTATTTTTACATGGAAGAGATAATATGCAATGACAACATCTGTCCATTCTTCTACTAGATGTACTTTTTGAAAATAGTGATTATAATTACGAAATTTTTAATTGTTAACTTATTATTCACATCATATTTTTCTCCACTTTTTATGATTATCCTTTTTTTTTTTGGGGGGGGGGCGGTGTATCTATGCAGTAGCCTAGGCTTGAATGTTCCTTTTTACATGTCATCCTGTCTCTTGTTATGTGCCATAAATTAAATATATGACAAACTACAAATACTGAAATTATCATTCTAAAAATAATGTTATTTACTAAGCACGATGTATTGTATCTGTTGTCAACCAATGTTTGCCCCTTTCATTTATGTGGGTATCTTTATCTGGAAATGTTTTGGAATTGTTGTATTTTGTTCAGTGAATCAAAATAATGCATATGTGTGAGCAATATTATATTTAGCAAGAAATTAACTCGTTATATAATAATTTATTCCTAATCAGCAACTTTGTGTGTGAAAAATGGAGAAGAGAAGCATTTACAATCATGACTTACACGAAATAATTAAGCTAAAATTAGAGCTGTCTCACAATCAATGTATATAATATCAAAAATACAAAATAGACCCATAGTTGTTTTAGTTGTAATTTAAGCATTGGTCATTTTATGAAGCACAACCTACTTCAACTTATACAAGGTGCTCACAGCTCATTATAATATACCTAGTAATAGTTACATGATATATGTATGTCTGTATGAAAGAATCATTGTGAATAATTGCAGAATGTGCCTTATATTTATATTTCGTCTGCTGAAAGCCAGAAAGGCTTTAACTACAATCAATCAGCATAGAGTTAACGCCATTATAGCTCTCAGCAGATAAGTTAGTTCATGTAATAGTACTTTTTGTAATATTTATATTTTGTAACAAGAAATCATTAGATACTACGAATTGTATACATACATGTACATATACGTAGACTTTGCTTTACAAGTCACGTAGAAATGGTGCTACAGTGTACTAACTCAAGTCGAACGAGCCCTTGTTTAATTATAATTTGTACTTTTTGACATTTCGTTTCCAACTCCCATAAAAAGAGTAAAATATTATACTACAAGCTGCAATCTATCTTGCCATAGTACGGAGATCACGAGCATCACATTAAAGATATTTGATAACTTCATGTAATTTTGATAGTTCTCCTGTGAATCGTGTTAGCTCTATGTGTTTTAAGTGAGTGAGAGAGTAAGAGATATATATATATAGAGAGAGAGAGAGAGAACGAGAGAGAGAGAGAGAGAGAGAGAGAGAGAGAGAGAGAGAGAGAGAGAGAGAGAGAGAAGGGATGTGAGAGATTGAGAGAGAACGGGGATGGGAGAGAGTGAGAGATCCTTGAAATAAATTGTGCAAGATGAATGAGATAAATAAATAATAAAAGCAATGATAATAAAAGGAATAATCATAATGATAATGATAGTTATAATAATGATATAATTATTAATGATAACAATAACACGAGATGATCATAATGATAATCATCATAATCATAATGATCCCTCTTTCCTTATTCCTCAGAATCTGTTTAATTGACACATTCGCAATTTGTTATACTTTATTTTTTAATAATGGCATTGTATAACTGCTTTTTAAAGTCGACTCCAATTTGTAATATATATATATATATTTCTGTGTGGTAACCCTTTCAACTCAAACGTAATTATGTTAATTCAGGTTTTTAAGGCTTTTATCGTTGCCTATTTTCAAAATATATTTTCCCCCTATTTTCTTTGATTGTTTGGTTACTCAACATTATTTTTGTCTGTTTATCTGCTACCATTACCATATATCAGTTTAGTAATTTGACGATCTTGACCACTACTTTCTCTTAGTTTTTTTTTGGTATTGTATTGATGGAAATGTATTATTTTTGTCATCTTTATTACCATATTGTACTTGTCATACCTGTCTCACTATTGTATATTTACTGTATTTTTTAATTGTATTGTATAATTAGTAAACATGATCAGTTTTGGTCCTTGGACCTTTGAATCATGACATGTATATGTCTTTTTAAACCGAAATAAATAAATAACAATAACACAAAATGATCATAGTGATAATCATTATAATAATAATTCAATGTGGTAATATTAATTATAATCTGAGAAGAAGAAAAAGATAGGAAAGAGTAGGAAGAGAAGAAGAAAAAAAGGAGGAGAAAAATAAGAAGAATGATGATATTAATTTACCCAGGGTAGCTACATTAAGAACATAAGGACCTGACCTGCATCTACTCGTCTTCAAGGCACACTGTCCTACTTGTAGCTACTTGCTCCCTCTATATAGCAAATTTCCCCAATCGGCCTGTTGGTCCCCCATGATCCTTTTTTTTTATGTTAAATGAGAGCTGAGTTAATGAGATAGCCATCTGTCACAGTGACCTCGCTGGGTGGTCCAATCCCTTCTAGCTGAAGTAGTAAAGCCTGCCTTTAAATCATTTTTATACAGCGTAAAAAGAATTTGCCTTTCATTTCATATATTCGTGATTTAAGGGGAACAGGCAATCTTCTGTTTCAAACCTTGAGAAGCCTTTATTAATTTGCTACACACAAATCTTTGTAGTATCTCTTTCTATTTGAATTTCAAGAACTAACTAAAATCCATGTATGGGATTTTATTGTTATTATCCGCATTTCTGATACATTATTGTATCAAATATCAACACGTCGTATTATACTTGTTATCACTATTTTACCTGAATGTACTTATTAGACCAAAGTAAATGTACTATTTGAATTTTAGGCGCTCTTCTTTACAAATTTGTTATACATCATATTCATTTTATCCGTGTTTTAAAACTTTGCATACTAAACAATTTATCCTTATGTATTTCGTAATTAACCTGGCAGTGATCTGATTCTAATGAGTAACATGATTTTCATACTCGCCCTCCCACAGATAATAGGATGTCTGTTCCACGACAAGAATTCAGATATTCAGAAAAGGAATACTTTGAGCAGATCGAGTATAAAAGGTATGGTTGAATTCTGCATGTACTTTGTAATATGACCGCATTGCCAAATAATAACCATTCCCCATAATGTGATTGATATCAACGTTTAGAGAATACATTACGTTCTTTTTATGTGTTTGACTTTTCTAGGCAATAAGTGTGATTTTCCCTTTTCTTTTTGCTTTTATCCAAACCACAATGTTGCGAAAGATTGAATTACTTTCAATTTTATAGTTTTTTAAGTTTGAAATTAGACTCTTTATCACTTAATTGTCAAAATCAAACTTCGTCATTCTCTTGGAAGCCATACTTAACATATCGGAGACAAGTATAAACATATTCAATGTCTCTTAAAAATTAACGAATACATACATTAAGCCCTTGATCGTTTCAATGGTATCATCGAATGATGAAGGGGAAAAAAAATCGAGAAATGATTTAAAAAAAAAAAAAAGGAAGATCTAGAGTTTTCATCTCTTTCATGCGCGAAAAGAAAATGAAAGGACTGCCTTCCACTCTTCCTCTAATCAACAGCCTACTTAATTTGCATTCTTCCTCCTTGTAATTCTAGTGCCGCCGCCCCCCCCCCCGCATGCCGGTCGCCCCCCCCCCCCTCTCCCCCCGAACGACTGTGCCTACACTATGAATGGCCAATCCCCCTTTTGATTTTAAAGCATTTTCTTTTTTTCAAGTTTCGAAATTGCTATCACCTCTTTGTCAAAGTGAACTTGATTTCTAAGGGAATCATATCAATATATACGTACATTCGTATTCGAAGACATTTAATTCAAAGTCAAGGTTTCTGTTTTATATAATATAGCCTTCGTCGTGCCCTCATGATTATGCAGGCAATAATTAAATGAAATCAGACGATTGCAAAGATGATTACGCGAAATATGACTACTTCCCTTTCACCGCCGTTTTTCCTGCCAGGTCATATCAAAAATGATGCATTCGACCTTTTTATTTTTCTCTCTCTCCTCTTTTTCTTAAAGGGATTGGGAAACTTTGCCTCAGATTCTTAAAAAATCCTGGATTTAGCTCATGCTGCAATCATAATTATAAACCTTCAGGTCATACATGAATCCCATGACTGCCAATGAAGCCAATCGCTTGTCTGATTATCAAGATATATATGATTGGAATTAGAAATTTCAGAATTCGTTTTCCTAACGGTTTTTATAACACTACAGGCTATTAGGAAAAATGAGTATGCTAAAACCGGTCACTCAAAGATTTCTTACTTTTTTGAGGCACTTCATGATCATTTTGAAGCGCACTATTTGTTGGGCTTCAACATTACACCATATCACAGACACTAATAACACGTAGGGCCATGCATCTCAGATTTAACATTTTTAAACGATGCCTTTAAAAAAAACTCTGGGAAAAGGGGAGGATGTTTTCAAGGTCGTTTTGGATGGGGAAATACACGAGAGTGAAATAGGGATTTGAAGTGTACGAGTGCCATGATATCACCGAAGGTGTTGAAACATGTCTTTATCCTCGCTGCTAATGACGCATCAAAACATGATCTCATTGCGACTCCGACTCCCGCATGATCATCATTTT